TCATGGGCAAAGCTAGTCATTGTTATCCCTCTGGCTATAGGAAAGCCATTCATGGTTGACCCTACGACACTTATATCGTATGGTCAGTGGTCATGCACTTCATTATCCTTTTATATGAAGGGACAAAATTACCAATCGTCGATAATCCTAACTTGTAACATACTCCTTCCATATTCCATGTGTTTGTTGGTATCGCCAACCAGCAATTCTTGGCTCAGGACAACGATATTGCTCATCTTCCATCTTGGCGCAATGTTAGCCATGCGCAATAATAGCATACAAATGTTCACCATGGCCACGGAACAAAGGAGTGCATCCATGGTCATCTTTGTTATCTCCCTCCATACACAAGGGAATATCCTTCTTCGCTTTACACATTCATATATCTTATATTTGAAACCAAATATTCACTAATAATCTGCCTTCGCTACAAGTGTACACAAACCCATGAATCCAAGCTCATGGGAAATATTCAGGATAAACTTTGGGAGCAGTGGCTTGGTAGGCATAGATGGGTGAACATTGCCCGTTTGGTGAAGCAGGGTATTTGCATCAGCGAAGCTTTGCACTGGCGATGTTGCCTCGCTTCACCAAGAGAGCCTAGGTGACAAAGATATGAAAGTGAACCTTATTCCTGAAATAGTGCCTTTTGATGTTAACCAAAAGCTTGAAATCCCGTGAGAAATCAACTGAAGATGCCATCTTAGTCCCCATCAACAATCAGCTGCCATATTTAATGCAAAGGTGGCTACACAAATTACGTTGTGTTGGAAAGTGCTGGAAAAGATTATTGTTTGCTTAAGGATCTTCTAATGATCCTACACAAACCCTGGAACTTTACCAAGATCCTACCTATATGTTTTGCCGGTTGCACTCATGTAGTTTTCCAAAAAGAGAAGTTTCTTGTGGCTGGATAATTACCAAAAATGGGCAATCTTCAACAGAGTAGAGGTATTTCACTAGAACCAGCGGTGCTTTGTTATAACCAACGATGCTTCACCAGAATCACCGGGTAATTCATGATATCATTGTTGGAAAGCTGCCAAAAGTGTCTAAAACCACTTAAAGCTTGATAACTCACCCAACTCTATCCATTAGGTCAATGTACACTCTTGACTTGTCAACCCATAAATTACAAAAATGCCACTGCACATATATATTATTATTTTCCCTTCATTTTCAGAAAAAGAAGACATACAAGATTTTTGGGGGACATAACTCCTTCTTCCTCCTCTGAATGTCTAGACCTTGATCTTCCACATAGCAGCTCCTTCATCCTTACCTCAATATCATGCTCACACCCAACGGCTCCAAAATCATTTTTTAGCTTCATAGTTTCTAAGTCTCCAGCATTGCCAAACACCTCTAGATTTGTAGAATATCATGGCTGGAAAATGGCACAATGTAGCTTTTGTTCCTGGGCTACTTTTTTGAGCATCAGACAGTCAAGTTGAGAAGTCAGCATTAGAACAGAATTAGGTCACCCTCTTGCAAGCGCCCAAATGGTCATCCTTCCTTCTGCCATCACTACTCTCAAGTTTAGCCTTTGAGAAAAGTTTTGAAAGGAGAAATTGTTGTGTTTTGTAATCATGAGGATCGTGCAATATAAAGTAAGGGTATTTACTAGAGATCATAGAAGGCACATTCATTGTCATTATTTTGATGTCATGATTGTATACGTGTAAATGTACCCCTCAAGTTATGATGTTCGAACTTCAATAGATGTTTTATTTCTAGTGCTTGTACCATAATGCATTTCTTTGCTATCTACTTTTGATAGTTGTCTAATCACTCTTGACCACAAGTATCCTGCTGTCCTCATCTAGCCCTCTTCCCTCTTCTCATGGCTTGGCAGGAGAAACTACATCATCAGACTTGGCTGGGGAGTTTAGCACCAATCGCATTGCTAGGCAGATTGAAACAACCTGTGGCACGTAGCATTTCGCACGTGAAACAAATGCCACCAAAAGAACCCTCCTCACCTTTCTTGGGTGTCATCCTAATCAGCTTTCACATCATTACCATCACTGACTCATCAACCCACATCATTAACACACCCCAACAAATATTGAATTTACTTGACAAGAGGATAGTTGATTGTCAATGGATTCAACTTTTGAGTTAATTAATTATTGGTATTTGGCATTATAGATTATAAAATAATTGTTAGTATTTTAACTCTCAAAGAGTGGTTGAATAGTTAAAAACTTCAAATTTCAAATTGAAAATCTCAAACTCAAATTGAAAATCTCAAATTCAAATATTGAATCGAATTGGAGGAATTTAGGGAAAAAAAAAGGTTATCCCTTCTTATATAACTTATAATTACCAAATGTATCAAAAAAAATAATTGTTGGTATTTTACATAATTAATTGTAAATATTTTATTAACAAAGAGAATAGTATATAAAATTTTTTTTATAATTTTTATATACAATTCTCAACATATTATTAAATAAATAAGTAAAATAAATTTGAGTCCATACAATGAAAAAAAAGGATATTAACAAAATGATATTTAGAGTTATACTGGAAAATTAATTCTCAATCATTTAAAAATAAATAAGAAAAATCTATGGTACATTTATTTAACTAAAGTTGTGCTGAACTTAGTTGTGATTGTCAACAAGATAATTACATACGGGTCATGTATGGACTTGGGAAGTTTATCCGTACAAGCTGCGGTCTGCCACCTACTCATTATTTTAATCAAAAGGTTAAATGTTAAATTTGGTCCCTCAACTTTAGTGAGTTACATTTTTTTGGTCCCTTAATAATTTTTTGCACTTTTTTGATCCCTAAACTTTAAGAAATGCACTCTGTTAGTCATTCTATTAATTTAGATCGTTAACTCGCCCATATGGCATTTTTTATAGTTTTTTTGATGATATGACGAAAACAAATTAAAAAAGTGTCGATGTGGAACTTTTTTTGGCTTAAGTATTGGAAAAGGACCCCAACATTTACCAAATTCTCAATTGAGGTCCTCAACGTTTATTATGCTCAATCAAAGTCTCAAACTCAAGCAAACTCTCAAATAAGGACCCAATTTGATGGAATCCTACTCATCCATTAAGTCTAACATGATGCCCGTTACAATTCGTTACACCCCTCAATATGTGGCATGCCAACTGGACCCTAAGATCTTGCACAGCCAGTCATTGAGCAAAGAATAAGAAGATCTTGCATAGACAAAGGTTGGCCATTGTGGATCCAAAGCCAGTCTGTATCCCAACAAAAGCCATCACCTTGTGCCTTTTCACTCCATTACCATCTCCCAAACTATTTTCCCCATCATTACCATTTTTTGCATTACCAGCATTACTCTTTCGATCCCAAAATAACTTTGATAGATCTTGGATCGACAATGCAGCAATGGTAGCTGTCGTGATTGAGATTGAAGAATTCGGTGAGGGCGAAGATAAAGGCAGAGAGTGCCTAGAGGAGCAAGTAAGAGATGATCAAGACCGACAATCTGGAGGATCGAGTTCGCCAAGAGAAGTGTTCGAGAAATGAATGCATTATTGTCAAGGCGAAGAAGGAAATCTAGGGTTCATTAGCAGAGTGAACTAAGGTAAAACAAGGAGAAAAAGCAGATCTTGAATGGAGAAAGGCTGGTTGTTGGGCCAAGAAGTTGTAAGGATGGGGTGGGTTGCTATTGGGTGGAGAAGGAGACCTTGAATAGAAAAGAAGTAGACTGAAAATTCTAGGGATTTTGCCCCCAAATCGTGGAGTGGGAAAGAAGAGAAGAGATGGGAGAAAAAGGAGTGATATGGGATCACAACATGCCACGTCAGAGAATGCTCTTTTATTGTCTAGTTGGCATGCCACATACTGAGGGGTATAACAGATTATAACGGGCGTCATGTTAGACTTAACGGATTGTTAGGATCCCATCCAATTGGGTCCTTATTTGAGAGTTTGCATGAGTTTGAGACCTTGATTGAGCATAATAAACATTGAGGACCTCAATTGAGGATTTGGCAAAAGTTGAGGTCTTTTTCCAATATTTAAGCCATTTTTTTTCATGACAACTCATGCCAACTCATATGATTAGTATTTATATTTTAAAAAAAATAAATAAAAAAATTCGATCCATCTCCTTCCTTTCTTCCTCTTCTTTCTTCCTCTTCTTCCTCTGTGTTGCTGGATTCAAGGGAACCCGGCTCAAGCCACCAAACCCAATTTGTTGGGTTCGACGGAACCCCGCCTGGGTTCCACCAAACCCAGATCTGTTGGGTTCGATGAAACCCATTTGTTGGGTTCCATCGAACCCAGCTCCACTTTTTCTTTTTTTTTGTTATATGATTGTTTGCCAAGAGATTATTCAAATTGCAAGTTGTTGTGAGAGATTTTTGGGCAACTGTTTTTTTTTTTTTTGTTATATGATTGTTTGCCAAGAGATTATCCAAATTGCAGGTTGTTGTGAGGGATTTTTGGGCAATTGGGTTCCAACGAACCGAGCTG